TTTTCTTGCTTCGACGAGTCGCCGTCGCTGTGATCGGATCACGAACTTGCAGAAGCCAAGGAGCCTCTCGTTCACCGAGACCAGCTGGGGGAGAAGCGAGCTGATAATCAAGAGAAGAGGGTGATGATGAGAGTGAGAGTGAAGATGACAAAGCAAGAAGCGCGTCGATTGCTCTCCAGGTGTAACGACGGTGGGATCCTCGAGTTCAGGGACGTTGCTCGCGAGCTTGCGCGGATCCCCGTTGTTGCGTTAGTGTCGGTGGAATAATTATACACAGCACGGTATTCCATGAAACATGAAACGACAGATTTGTTAGGTTTTATCCTCTTGTACTTTTACATTATAATGGTGTTTGTTTTTTTGTCAAAGCCGATGCCGTGCTTATCGGGAATTTAGTGTATGTATAAAGATTGAAGTTTATATTCAGCACTCAAGATTGTATCCCCTTTGAAGATGACATAGTAAATTTTAGAATGTCTAAACCTGCACTAATGTTCCCCATTAGACGTATCGATTTTGTTAGGGTTTTATCCTTCTTGTACTTTTGGGATGATTATAACTGGTAGTTTGCTTCCTCTCAGTCAGGAAGCACTGCTGTTGCTTAACCATACTTGAATATCTGCAGAATTAAGCTATGTCATTTTTTTTTTTGGTTCTCGATTCTTGTATAAAGATTTGAAGTTTAGATGATCTTATTTCTGGTCTTCTACGCATACTTGCTACCTTATGGTGCTTTGAGTATTAGTTTTTCTCATCACTTTCGTGTACTTTTCAACTATGATTTTACATTTTGTTTTTGCAAGTAGACTTTCATACGATGTCAGCAACCTCAAATATATATCATATACATGTGTTGATATTTAAAGGTTACTTTCGAAACCGTGTAAACCTTCTTTTTCGTAATTAAGGTCACTTTTGATTTTTTATTTTAGAACAATTTCCTTTTCTTTTATTGGCTTATTAACTTCTTAAAAAGATTGTTGTATGTGCATGGTTTTCGAAATTCAGTAATACTTTCTCTGCTTACTTTTGGAAAGTTAACAATTTTTTTAGATTTGGCGATGTAAAATTAAAGTGGAAAAGATGAAATAATCCATTCATTGATAGGTTAGTGAAAACAAAATTCATTATCTATGCGTGCATCTGAAACAGTCCACTTGATTACAATTTACAATCACTCGATTGCGTTTTCCACTTACGTGTATTCATAAAATTAAATTTATAAAGAAAACAAAACACTTTTTCCATTCCCTCTGTAACTAATCCACTCCCTTCCACAGTGTTTCGAACATTTTATCCTTTGTGAGTCCCTCGTTTTTGGCATCTAAACTTACTTCTCCTTGGTCAAATGTGGGGTCCTTTTCTTTTCCTGCTAAAACATTGACCACGATATTCAATCTTTCAGTAAATTTTCGTAAATTTGTATTGGAAATCGAAGTCGACAAATTTACTTATGAATATACATAAGTAGAAAACTCAATAAAGTGGTTGTAAATTTTAATCAAGTGGACCATCCTCTTATGTATATTCATAAGACATAATCATGTACAGGACGATGAAGGATATATGTCGTACGACATTATATTTAGATGAAAGATACTATGTTGTGCATGTAATGTTTACCAAATGATGTTACCACATGATGTTGTGCATATGATCTCGACCTCGACCTTATGTAGGCATATACTTGCATGAATTTCCTCGACAGAATAAGCCCTTGAACGCGCACTTATTAGACTGTGGTTTCGCATTTCGCATTCAACAGTCTTCTTCGTCTTCACTTTTTCCACGTGAAATCGTCTATAAGTATTCTCTCTCTCCACTTGCCTTGCTGATCTCTCATTGTCTCAACACATATAACACATCTGAACACCTTTCATCAATTTGATTCTCGTGGCTCGTCGTCAGATTACACAGCTTCCCTTCTTTTGTTGCTTCGACAAGTCGCTGTCACAGTGATCAGGTCGTGAACTCACAGAAGCTAAGGAACGGCCCATTCACAGAGACGAGCTGAGCGAGAAACTTGCTGATAATCAAAAGAAGAGGGTGATAGTGAAAGCGAGAGAGTGAAGATGAAAAACGTTGTTTGCTCTCCAAGTGTAAAGACAGCGGGCTCCTCGAGTTCAGGGACGTTGCTCATGAGCTCGCACGGATCCCAGTTAGTCGCGTCAGTGTCGAGCCGATGCCTGCTCCAGGAGTAACAGCTCTTGGGAGTATCCCTGAGGAAGATGACATGAAAATGAAAGAGTGGTAAACCGTTAATGTTCCCTGAGACGTATCGGCTCAACTAGGGTTTTATCTTCCTTTTTTGTGTTTTTTACTTTTACCATGGATTTCATCATGGTTATAAATGGTCGTTCGATTCCCTCTCAGTTAGAAGCACTGCTGTTGATTGAGTATACCTGAATAATAGAGATTTACGTTATATCAATTGCCTTTTGGTCTTGACTCTTGTATAAAGATTTAAAGATATTACAGAACGCATAACACTTATGGCCTTCTTTTGCTATAATTATAGCACTCGTCTTTACACTGATAAACAATTATATCCTGCTTCAATTACACTTGTACGCATACTTGCTATCGATTCGCTTATTGGTGTTTCTCATACCTTTGGTGTACTTTTGGGATGATTCTTCGTTTCCAAGACTTTGAACTATATCCTCACCTTTGTATCTGCAAGTGAATTCCTTAACACTCCACGTGCCAAAATTAACGTATAAACGGGCTCCTAGTCCTATCCATGCTTTTCTCCTACTATGTGTGGACCGTATTCTTATCTTAAACAAGCTGTCATTCTCCGTGGACTGGACTCTTTGAGTTGATCGATCATGTTGGACCACCTTTTAATCTAATAGAGCCCAAATTGTCTACTTGCAAGCCAATTTAAAAGCCACATCAGCGACGGTCACCGCAATCAAGCTTCGCGGAAAAGCAACGGCCCATAAAGAAAAGGGCCTTTTTGAAGCCCTCGAAATGTGGTTTTACCCAAAATCTAGGCATGTTATTAGCTGGTAACCCATCGATTCAAAGTTATTCGATGTTTAAGACGTGACTCTCTCCCTCTCTCAAGATCCCTATCGATTGATATTGGAGTCGAATAATCAAATGGGAAACATCTTCAGTTGATTCAAGTCTTTGTCATGCATATATAAATTTAGGTTCAATTTTACTCGAGTATCAATGTTTTTATGTCGGTATGTTTACCATTATTTCTTATGCATGTCACCTCCTCAAATTTATAATAAATGTCATGTTAACCTTGCCCCGAGGATATGTTTAGTGTATCTGATAAGAATATATTTGATTTTATGCGATAGTTATGTTGAAATGGAAAAGGGTGAAACTATTTCCACGTCTTTTTTGGCTAAAACAAACCATTCTTAGCTTATTGATCATCTTACCCTTTAAAGACCACTTAAAAGGGCGTGTTTGTTTGAGGTAAAGTGTTTTTCGGGAATACGTTTTTCGGACTTTTACTTGTTTGGTTCGCCGAAAATGGTAAGTTAACTAAAAACACTTTCTGGTCAAGGAAAACATTCATGTATAAAATTAGGAAAATGAATTCCCTAATTTAAGAAGGTAAACACACTTTCCGGAATTGCTCATCTTGAATTTGTTAATATCTTTTCTTTCTTTTTTTTCTTATCTTTCTGAAGCCGGCAATTGGAAATAATTTAAAATATACAATTTTTGTATAATTTTCACCATCATATTTTCCTCACCAAACAACCGAAGATACTTTCCAAGTCTTTTGTAGGTTTTAGCCAAACACTGAAAAATGAACTCATTTTCCTGGAAAATGACTTCCTGGAAAGTATTTTCCAGAAATAGTACATTTTCCGCGAAACAAACACACCCGAAACATTAATTTTTATTTATGCAATTAATAGATAAAGATTTAGTGGACACGGGCCAATTCAAAGACGAATGAACGACGTCATTGAGAGCTAGCAAAGAGTTTTCTTTCTTTTCTTTTTCCCTTTTCCCCTTTTTCATCTAGTTCGACTTTACTTGAACTTATACAAGGGAAGAACGTTCAATATGAGGGAAGAGCACGGCGATCGATTTCAGGAGGATCCAAAACCATAAGGAAACGGCGATCTGGGCGTGGATTCCGTTGTATGCGCACGAGATAATTATACGAGAGTTAGAGATGGCTAATAAATGATTTAAGTCATTTTGTATTTAGGGGGTGATTTAAACGGGCGCTCGCGTCATCTCGACGTCATTTTAGGAAATGCTTGCGTCATACGTTTACTTGAGAGTGCGGGCAGGTTGAAAATGCGAATCGGAAACAAAGAAAACACCAAAGATTCGGAGCATCCATCTACATATATTTATATATTAATTTCGGGGAATTTTCTTCTATTTTTTTCGAGGCTCGACGACCCGATCCATCCCCTACCCCATGTGAACGAAGACTTTTCCCGACCTTTTTGTTTTTTGTCGAATTTCGCCTCTCAAATCACGCTAATAAGCCAAAACCCTAGCGTGGATTATGCACCTTTAATGAGACAAGCCTCGAAGTAGTCGAACAATAGAGTAATCCATTATCATACAATATTCATTATGTTGTCTTGTTGCATTAGCTGCTACTTTTGAGACGATAATATTATGTATGAGTGATTGATCTTGAAAAGTTTGGCACATCCCGTGATCAATATTTTAACCGGTCATCGAAGAAGAAAACTTCGATTTGCATGCTCTTGATGATGGAAAAATTCTTTTTTGCCAATTGACGATGCTCATAACACGATGTAGCATTTACTCACGTAGTGCGGCGCATCCGATTGATGTGTATATATGCTCGTATCATTTAGTGGGAAATGGATCCGGTAGGATTGGCTGTGAATAAACCTTTGACATGAGATTCTAGAAAATTCTTTTGACCGAAGCTCATACTCATTAGCTATATCGACCCTTTCATCGTACCATGGATTTTCGCCTCCAATTTGTCATTCGCGGGATCATAAGGACAAAAACTCCTCTAATCAAAGTTGTGAATTGGCAATGCGTATTATTCCAAGTTTGTGCCACCAACATCCAAACCTAAAAAATTTCCACTATCAAAAGGAGGAGGGGAGGATGAACAAGTGAAAAGGAGCAAGAACCTCAGGGGCCGTCCAGCAAAATCCCAAAAAAATAATTTACATGGTTCCGGACTAATCTCTCCCTCCTCGAAAAGCCCTTCCATCGATCAAAATACAAGAAGATCTTTGCAAATTAACAAAGAAAAAGGAAAGAAGGTTGAAAAAAAAATTGAAAAAAAATAAGTTCATCATGACCTCCTCTCCATCTCAGGCACCTCAGGCACCTCCATGATGCTGTCAAGCGATGGCTTCCACGACCCAACATCAGCAGCTTCAGGGAAGCTGCTGTTTCTCCTCCTCCCTCTCTCTATTTCGCCCAAGACTTGCTCTAGGTTGCTCTTCGGCCCTCCTTTCCTGCGACCCAACTGGATCAGCAGCAGCTCCAGCTCCTCCTTGGTCAGCAGTATCTTGACCCTGACCCTCCCACCCCCGCCACCGTCGATCTTGCCACTCGGGTCCACGCTGATCTTGGCCGCCGAGCCGCCGCGAGCCGCCATCTTCCCGTTCTTGATCTCTTGAGGCCGGAACGCCTCCGGCTCTTTACAGATCTCTTCACATCTCCTCTGCTTGCACGTCTCCGCGCAGTTTCCCATTCTTTCTCACAACTTCAAGAAAAACAAGGGACGCGCAGCTTTGGTTTCTCCCGGAAAAAAAGGGTCTGCCAGGAGGCGAGGAATCGCTGGTTATGAAGAGCGGAGGCGGTGGTTGCGGTTGTTTGCGACTGAAGAAGGAGGGGCAGGTTGCGCAAGTAGTGATGCATGTGGAGCTTAGTATGGGTTAGTTCTTATAGTCGTTGATGGAGGTGCTGTATTTTTATTTAAAAAATGAGATTAATCAATTAAGAAGTTTGAGGAGAAGGAAAAAATAAAAATGAAATTTAAAATAGGGTGGGTTCACAGAGAATTGATTTCGCTAGCAAAGTCGAATCTGACGTTGGGCCTACGTATGCCAAAATCAAGCCCCACGGAGATTAAAGTCGGTATGTGTACTTTGTCTGCTTGTTCTTCCGCTAGTTTATGTGGTCCTAATTAAGTAATTAGTATTTGGAGATCGTATTCGGATCCCATTACTAGAGTGCATTGCGTTTTAATTATATAGTTGAAGTTTCGAGATCTAAATCGGTACGTGCTCATTACAATATTAGAACCGTCGGATCCGTTGTCAGAATAAAGAATCGTGTCATTTCAATTTGCTAAATGACTTTTACAATCTTTTACATCTCATACTGATGTCATGGATCGATTAGGACTTGGACCTCTATGAAAATCCTATTTTTCTCGACAAAATGGAAAAAGTCGTGCTAGAATGATCAACTCTATTCTTAAACCGAGCATGTTACGCCGTAAGTGGAGTATGAAGTCTTCTTAACAATATTTACTGATGTGAACAATCGGTGCATTGACATATTGAGTAACATTAGGTATGTTAAAATTGATATACTTAATGACATGATAAACTACAAGTGGGCTTAGTTTTGCTAATCAAACTTAATATAATTTCTCAAACGAAGAGCCCAGTTAGGCTCGTTTTAGTTCTTACTGTGCTTTAATCATTCTAGAAAGGCAAGAAAGAGTCGAGCTTTAAGTGTTTGCAGTAGCTAGCTGGGGGAGTAGTAACTAAGGTTGATCTCTAATTAGTTTATTGTGCAAAATTTTTTAATCTTAGTCAATATCTTTGGACCGCTGACCACTTTGTGAAATTTCTTAGAAACGCTAACGTAGACCTAAGTTTTGAAATCCTTTTCAGGGAGGTCATTCGGGCAGGAGTCGGTAGTAGCTCCTGCAATAAATAAGTGACAAGAACCAACCATTCTGGTGCAATTCCACGTTAGTTAGGTTTTTATATTATATGGAGAAGATTTAATAATATAACTAGTCACCGACAAGTCTCGTACTATCTTAACTTCATCACTCGATTGCATAAACTCTAGTTAAGAACTACGTTTTGCACCTGTACTTTGGACAAGTTTTTTTCAATTTGATTCATGAACTAATCGACAGCTTTTTAATTCAGTCCTCTCGGGTGTTTTTCTTATTTTTATTTTGCCCCTTGCTATCCAGATTTATGAGGGGAAAAAATGTATTCGAAAGCAATAAGGGATCGAACGAAAAATTTGTAGAGCTTGGCTAATAATTATGAGAACCCTTTGACTTTGTCCGACGCTTCTCGTGTTCGTACGTACTTATGCCCTAAGTTCTTTGCACCAAACTGATCAGGTACAAAGCAGTTGCTTGAGAGTTGAGAGAGTATCTCAACTGCTATAATTCTTTTTTGTTTGGCCATACCAATTCTATACAGTGATTTTCTTTCTTATTGTAAACAAAACAGTCTGCTGAGACATACGATATGAGCTCGAGTGGCGATGCTCGCTTTCATCTTCACCAAGTTTTGTGTCCATTTCTTGATTATCTCGCTGATTGAGTACGCCCGAACCGATTTCTACGCTATAATCACATCATTGATCATTTTTCCGACCACTCGAACTTTTCAGAAAACGGGTTTGCCATGGCACTTGAGAGATTGAATCAGAGAAAATTCCACTTCTATCTGTTGTATTTCGATCATAAAGTTTATCATATAGTCACTATGATCCATCTTCAACACATCCTCTGACCTTATCCCCCACCCAATTGCATCGTTTTGTCTGCCTATCGTGGGATCTGAAGCATTAACTTGCGTAGACCATCTACGTGTGACATCTCACCCACTTTTGTCTATTCAACCAGACCAAACCCTAGACAAAACCAAAAATGATATTGCAAAAAAAAATCAGAGCCCCAGTCTAGTTCGTGGACAAAGCAGGCAGGAGAAACTGCTGGTTTCACGACCCTCCTCCTATTTTTGGGGGGTGAAAGATACAGCAGTTGAGCTGAAAAGCGAGAGGAGACAGAGAGATGTACAGAGCCACGCGTTATTGCTAATGTAATCAAGTCCAAAGATTATCGTTTTCTTACGCCATAAGAAAAGTGATGTTTTCGGACATCTTTCCTTCGTTCATCTACAGTTCTTCCTGTACACGATCGTGGGTCTCGGTTATTCTTTCGCCCCCACGTATCGTGTTTGCCAGCATTCGGCCAACGGGATGTTGAATGTGAGATAAAGCATATGTGCCTCACCATTTCGCCTAATCACTAATGAATCTTTAATTGTGGCTAGCAAAATGAAAAGGATACACATAATAGAGTGATTTGTGAGATTTTGTGAGACTGCTGCCAACTGTTCTAAAAGCTTAAGCTGTTGAATGAAGGCGTTGATTGATATTTAATTATTCTAATACTCCCCCTCACGCGTAAGCTGGACTTTGGCCTAAGTCTAAAGCATGGAAATACGCAATTGGGAAGCCAAATAGGGGCATGGAAAGATTTGAACTCAAAAATTCCTATTCTATGTGAGATTTTGTGGGACCGCTGCTAACCGTTCCAAAAAATTCATTTAACAACTTAAACTTTTAAAACAGTTAGTTCTGATCATACAAAATTCTCACATGATCTATGTGTGAACATAAATTATTTACAAAAAAAAAAACAATTGACCGAGTCAATTCCACCAGCTCTAACACTATTTATTTGACTTAGGAGACCTAAACAATCGTAAAATAAATTTACGTTGTGAACACATCAATGTGAAAGGTATTTTTTGATAAATTAATCCACGATTCATTTGAGGTGAAAGGTATGGAAGTTCTTCTCAAAAGAAGAGAAACCGGTGACCATGCAATTGCACGTAGCTTTCGCCCTTTTGGCAAGTCGTATGATGATGTTCTACTCTTTCCTATTCCTTCTTTGAATTCGAGTTTGACCGGGGGAAGGCAGGCAAAAAGGAACACTTTCATCGTGGACTAAGATAACTCATACTCGTTTTAGCAAAAATAAAAGATTAACTCATATTCTATTCTTCCTCACAGAGACAACGTGCATATAATTTTTCTTTAGGTTAATATCATGAAAAACTCCAAACTAATATACCCGTGATAAATTTACCCCCAACTAAAAAATCTCCAAATCAGTAGATCTGTAACAAATTTATGATCCGTCAGTTTTCGTTAAATTTTACCGTCAAATTGCTGAGTTGGATGACACGTGATAGTTGACGGTTGTACCAATTTCGGGCTTTACCCTCCGTTTGTCACAAATGTACCAATTTGTGATTTTCCGTGGTATTAATCCATTTTAATGGAAACCAACCGAGGGTAAATTTGTCACAAATGTACCGATTTATGATTTTTAGTGATCAAAAAATTAATTTGGGATAAATTTGTCACAGATGTACCGGCTTGGGATTTTTGATTGTCAAAAAATTAGTTTGAGATAAATCTGTCACAGATATATCAATTCTGAATTTTTTGTGGTATTAATCTTTTTCTTTACTGGTGTGCATTCGAAAGATACTGGCAAAAAACATGACCGGTGTGACCTTTTTTATTGAGGTAACTCATCAATAATTTGATGAGATTACCAATTCTTTTTTAGAGTTAGCAAATTGTCAAGTTATGTACTAAATTACCAACTTCTACTTCTAACATCTTCCGACGGCTTCGAGATCGAGAGAGAGAGTAGTTCATTAGTAGTCATTGATAAGGGCGGCGGAGAAGAATGGAGTCGTGTCAAGGATGGTTTTGAGGCAGCGGCATCTTGTTGGTCCATCGATCAAAATTTGGTGTTGCCGGAGTTGGTCAATCGGGAAAAATTTAGAAAGAATGAAAAGAAATAACACATGACAACAAAAGAAAAGACACACCTCGAACGTCAAATGCCCAATATCTTGTGTGTTGTCATTTCAAAGGGAAAAAATCGATAGATTGAAGATGTAAAGTAACACGTAATTTCAATGGATAGCTATCCTACTGAGATTGTGGTGCCAAACTTGTTTGGAACTGAAGATTGTTGACTTACTCTAGCACCGCATTTTGATTGAAGGATAGAAACACTAAACACACAGACCATGTAACTTTTTTTCAACAACATTCCACATCTCTCACTATACCATCGTTTCAATTTTTACCAATCACGTCGCCGCTCAAAGCTTTGAGTCCGTTCGATCAAATTGATACCAAGAGACGAAATCGATATAGACCGGACATTATAATTTAGACAGCAATGTCCCAACATTTTCCATGAGAACGAGGTGATCAGTAGTAAAGAATCCATAATAGTCAACATGAGACCATGCAATCTAACCTAACATTTTCTCTGCACATGCCATCCCAATCATTTTAGCACGATAGAAACTGCAAACTATTCATCATTTAAAGGAAGTGGAAAAAGTCAATTATTCGCCGGGCAATTATCTTAAACGCTAGAGATTGACTGGGACAGACCGACCGAGGACTCGATTTTCTACGCAGTGTCAAAAGCAGCATTAAGATAGTTCCCCCCCATTTGGCATTTGGGTCCTCTTTATAACACTCTCCTTTGAAAAAACGTTAAGGTTAATCCATGCAAATTCAGTCAACGTTTTCCACTTCCCGTTGTCCTCTTTGCCTCCAAAGGGTTCCCCTGCTACATTCTCTTACAAAAGTCGAAAAGCCACACCCTCATGCAAAATTTTCTAATAAGCTTGTGCATCAGGTAAGACATAATCATTGCGTGGATGGGCATTGCTAAGACAGGACACCACCCGCACTTGGTAGCGTGAACGATTGAACCTGTGTCGTACTCCTCATCGACCTGCCAAAATTTGCATCAAGCCATAGTTTTTAAACATATGACGTAATCGTGACGGTTGATGATGTTTGATGTATTTATTCGAGTTTCTTAAATCAAGAGGCAACTTTTTCGACGTTTTCTGTGATAGGCTCCATGACACGCGTCACATTCTCGTATAGTTTTAAAGTATTCCATTAGAATGAAGCTTTTGAAATCATGGCATCACCTTGAAAAATAAAATAGCGATCGAGACGTTCGTTCTTATACTGAATTATTTTAACGATTTTAAGAAGATTGATAAATCGGTTTATCTTAATTTATCCTCTAGATTGAGGATGGAAATTCAATTCCCACGTTACATAAATTAAACAGAAAGAAAGAAAAGAAATCACGTCGCTGTCACGTAGCGGCGGAACAGTGAAGATTGATTACCCGACAGTCTCCCTAGTTTAGGTAGAAGAATGACTTGCGTCCCCCTGTTTTTCGACTGTTGGATCACATGCAGACAAGTTCATGCAGACCAACGACCACCTAACACCTGTCCCACCCAATAAAGTTTAGAGATTTTCTTCGATTTTTAAATTGAGTGATGGAAAATCAATGCTCAAGATATAGTTGGGTCCAAGTGTGAACAAGACATGATTCCCCGACCACAGTAAAAATATTAATGGGATTAGCCATTCTTTCGATTCTACCAAAATTTTTTCATTCAAGAAATAAGGAGACTTGAAACGAAATTATTAATTCCACAAATGCCGAAAACAACATCAGCCTTCGCTGAAAGATGAACCCGCCAATCGGGTGATTCTAGTCAAGTTTGAGTCGGATCGAAAATGATCCAACCCAAATTGATGAACTTAACCGATTTTTTACATAATACAAATCTGATGACTCATACTCAACCCAATCCATATTCCTAAAACACTTTCATATTCAATCAAATTTCAAAAAACTCATACTCAAAATTATGAGGTAAAAGCGCGGGATCGTGTGAAAATGAGAGAGAACAACAAAAGAGTCATAAAAGTGAATTAAGTCTTGAGTAAGTTTTGAAATCATGCAACACCCATAGTATTTTTAGCTTTACCATTCTAAATTCATTTATAATCCATTTATTGAATGTAACGAACCCATATAACAACTATCCCCATCAAATATGGGTTATGATTTGACAAACCTATTCAAAGACTACAAAGACTACGCTTAGCCCCACCTCAACTTCACGATGCTCCTAAATTCAAGACAGCTAATCTAAATCCCCACTTTCAGGGGCATGCCCATATCTGAATGAATGTTTAATGCATTTAATTGGAGAATATGTTATAATACTAAATAATTATGAAATTGCATCTTCTATCTTCGACGCGTTTTCACAAACCTATTCAGCATTTTGCACCATTGACAAAGAACCAGAACAGGACGCTGTTTGACTATGCATTAATGTGCTCTTCTTATTTCAATTCTGCATAAAACGACATACTGCATTTCTTATGTACTTGTATCTGCTTTCCCGAGATTCTGCTGAGCAGGTGATCAAGTGATAGCAACACAGGCAGGTAAGCAAATTTCATAAAGTGCAGTTCAAGATTATCCCGAGTAGAACTTCCCTGTTGAAAGCCAGTTATGCTCTTATGCACGTCCAGAGTTTTAATACCGTCAATCTTGTTTTATCCTCGCCTGACATTCTCTGCTTCTATGTAGCAACATCGCAAGTACGTCATGCATGATTTCTGATGAAACAACAAAGTTGGAAAGTGAGTCGCAACTCGTGCAATTGACATCAAACAAACCACTCAGCTCGCCTTCATTCATACCCTTCCAATGCAATATGGCTCTCATGGAACACACCAATATGATTGGAGACTACTTAGGTCACTTATGGACATTACAAAATGCTGCCATCACTTCCGAATTTAAAGGGCGAGGCATCTAATAACCCAATTCAAGTCACAACCAACCCTCCTCTTAGCTTACTTCACTGACCTAGGACTTAAAAAGAGAGACCCAACCAGTATGTGATCCATTGTGCCAGTAGTACAACGGCAACCAACCTTGAAGTTCAAGGACTTAAGACTGGGTCCGACAGAGAGATCTCTCCATAGATTGGAATTGGATCAAATGATCAAAACTAGAAAAGTCATGCAAGTTTGATGGTTCTATTCGACACATACACAAATTTGTATCCTAGTAAAGAATGCCCACATCTCGTCAAGCAAGTCTATCCAGGCACCAGACCTGAAGACAATGCGATATCAAACGCACCATCAACTGCTCCAGATAGTTGACACGGTTGAGAAATTGAAGTGAAAATGGTCAAGTAAACCTTAAGTCAAGCAAAGTGATTTCCTACAGAACCAAAAGTCTTCATTCCACACATGAAACATTCTTACTTGACGTAGACTATATGTTCTTGCTGCATAGATGTTTTAAACTGGTCAAAATTTAGAACGGACCATGAGGGATAATTTAACAGTCATGGCACTACCTGCTCTGCAACAGCCAAAGAAGACCCAGCAAGAGCTCACTCCACACGCCTGCGTTTCTTGGCAAGATTCTCAAAAACCTGGTGGATATCATCAGAGGTGATTGGCTTCGATGGATCATAGGACTCCTACAGAGGAAAAGTATGTACATGTAAGGCCGTTGCTATTGTAACATATGCTAGAAGGACAGACAACATGAGGAAAAGGTAATGAAGCAAGAAAGTCCAACACACATTGGCTCCTGACAATTCTCCACTGTTGAGTAAATTGAGTTTCCAAGGTAGAATCAAACCGAGCTTATCATTGAGTTTTAATAACATACCAGGAAATTACGCATCTCATCCTTCATATCTGCAATGCCAGTCAAGATCTCCATCTTCTGCACATGACCTAACCTATTTAATAAATTCTGTTCTACACCTTCCAGCTGCTGCATCTTTTCTTCCCTCTTCTGCTTAGCCATTTTCTCATACTCCATGATTGAGTCCTCCTTGTCAAGCAGAAAACTGGTATTCTTCTGATTGTACATATCCATGCACCTTTGACACTTACAGAGGACATCCCTCCAACTTTTGGAGAGAAATAGTGGTTTATAGTCTCCAACGGAGGATTGAAGATCCACTTCAGAGCCAAAGAGACAACAACCATGTTGAACATCCTCCTTAGAATGATTGGAGCACATAACATTTGCAGAACTTTCGCCACTGCTCGGTTTATTTTCATTAGGGATGCTTTGAGAATTTGTCATGAAATCAGTTTTACAAGAACTGTCGTTCTCAACTTTCTCTGACCCAGAAGCTGCAGGTGTTTGCGTCAAAACATCTTTATCCTTGCTAGCATTTGGTATAGCATCACAATGCCTCCTTGCGGCCATTATAGCTTGAGGATATCTTTTCAGAAAAGAACAATTAGCTGAGCATGATTGGCATATGAAATCCTCATATAAAGGTTCTCCCTCTTCATCACGAGGAATCTGCGAGTTTGAGGAAGGGCACGCAGTTAAGCATTGCAAATCATTCAATCTAAACAACTATAACATATTGAAGTACAGGCATGAGAAATTTTGTCATGTACTACACTGGAAAGTGGAGACATCGTCAAACATATAATTCTTTCTTCCTCCAAACAAAAGATTTCATTGAAAGCTTTATTCTAAAGGTGGTGTTAATAAAGAGAAGATTGGCTATTGCTTTCACTTGGTGGATGCTACATTGAGGATGACAGCAACCAGAGAGGAGTAGAACTTGAGAATCTGAAGATGGAAGTCCCTAATTAGGTAAAGCAACATGCAAATGAGATGACAGTACAGAAGATGCTAAACAACAGAAAACCAAAACACAGTCACCGTCCTACATCACATCACCTGAAAGGGTATTTCTTTATGGTTGGAATTATCGGTGGACAAAATACTACATGGAGTGAAGAAAACTTTTCAAATCTGCAAACTTACCTTCATATAGCAAAGATGCAATATGTTCAATGTACAATTCATAATTCTAAGGCTGCATTAAAAAATAACGCAGGAGTCTCCAATAAAGCAGTCGAAGACAGCAACGATAATACTCCACCAAGGGAATTTTGACAGGCTATGGGTTGGCTCGCTATGAACGGCTCGACTTCCATAGAAATTGATGAGGAAAATGAAAGTTCCCAGGATAAATTATAGCGTAGGTACTCAACAGAACAGCCAAGGTGTAGCATCATAATGCAATAATACACATTAGTCCTGGTTGCCTGATCTTCGTGAAGAAACATGTGATATTGACATCATGCTCAAAGATTATTCTTTTTTATAGATACATCATACCCAAAAATGATAGAGTCCATTAAATTCTGTCAGCAAAAACCCCATTAGTTACCTCATGAGATGATTCTAGACCAATATGCTCCTCATGAAACCAGTCCTCGCATACACAGCACTGTATCATCTCAACTTGATCTTCAACATCAGGATCAGGATAGGGCCGACCACACGTGCAATATGAACCCTTAAAGTTGTGATTATATGAATTCTTGACATTTTCCACATCCTTGTCTGCAAAAAGCTTGCAGAAAAACTCTCCAAACTTCGAATTTCCACAATCACACCGAAAATTTCTTTTGGTCCAGAGCTCCAGAATCTTGTGCAAGTGGAAATAGGAGTGTCATTTCCCATAAAAGGAACTAAAACAAGCTTGATATCCATTAAAAAGAAGCGATTATAAGAGCAAGAAACAGCAAAAAGAATAAAAATTATACAAATTGTTTGTATCTGCCAGGAAATAAACTCAGCCAGCACAAGAAACGCAGTTGTTACAGTTTCCACTTTTAATAAGCAGGTATTAATCCTAGCCATCTGAGAAATGTGATTTCAATTGCCCTTATGAATATCTAACAGCAATAGAAAGCCAAACTCATGGAAAACCCACAATATTGCTACCCAAAGAAATGGACCCAACATATCTATTTTCACTGCAAACTTGAAGTGAGCTTTTCACTGCAAAGAATGGACCCATTTATAGTTTATTCGTGAGTGTTAAGTAACATGATATATATACATTGCGGACCTATTTCCTAATCACTCAAGCTATTGAAAAGAACAATTTATCTCGTATTCATTAAAGCACAACATGAGTTTTAATCAACATATCGGGTTGCAAATGTAAGAAACGGCTTTCACATCAAGGGGAGTATTAAGCAATATGATGTATACATTGTCGTGTGTCTAAGGACAGCTTAAGCTTTCTGTAAAAAAGTTTTGTCTACAAAAGAGCAAGTCAAAAAAATTGAGTAATATCAACATAGCAAGTCAAGCAATTCAGAAACTTCAACACTATCATAGCCCAGAAGGAGTTAGAGATATACCTAATTCCAATGACTAAAAGGAGGCGACCTCAATAGGGATAGTGTTGGGAAAAGTGAGCATAACCCAACATATTAATAAGAAGCCTAGCAGTCTAGTCCAAATTAAATGCCAAATGGCGTATTTAGGATGTGAGTGGCTGCTGTTAAAGTAATCTCCAGCAGGTTATACATGATCTCCACAGTAAAAGCTGGGAACCTCATGTCACATAAGCAAGATATTGATTACTGAAAGGCATACGGGAGCTTCTCTTACCGATGTCAAAAGAGAATAACCACATGACTTCGAAATGACATAGAATCACAAGTAAAATTACTGTTCAAGTATATAATCTTTGATCTTTACACTAGAAAAGACAAGACAAACTGAAGTAAAATCCATATACACTAATGAAGTGATTTTACCATGATAAATCTCTAAAACTTCCAGGACAATATAAAAAGCACTACCTCATGCCCATCATGACAGGACAAGCTGCAAGCTGTGCAAACTCCAGCATTTCCATCCGGCGTGCACGTCAAACATGAGAAAATGGCCTGCCTCTTCAAATAACCTTGGGAATATGTACAATCCTTACCCTCATCACCACCCAATACCAAATCCGCTTCCTTGCAAGAAAAGCATGAACTCATGGAAAATCAGTGATGAGAATGGATATTGCTAAATATTTAAAGGAAAACCCTGCAGACCACAAAATTCTGATCCATAATACAAAAATCAAATAGTAAACCTGATAACATCAACAATCTCACAACTAGCTTATCAATATCTCCAGGTAGACGATTAATTACATGAGTATATTTATCTGAAGCCACAAAGCAGCACATATTGCTCGGATAGCCAAACTACCCTCTAACCTGATCATTTAACGAGGCAATCATGCACGATTCTTACTCTAAGGACCATGTTTAATGCCTACATTCCATCAAACCGATGTGTGAGAGCTTAATAGAGGATTAATTGCATAAGTATATTTATCTGGAGCCATAAAGCAGCACATATTGCACGAATATTAAAACTACCCTCTAACTGGGGCATCCTAAGGGCCATGTTATATAGCCACATTCCATTAAAACGATGTGTGATACTAGATAAGTACCGACTACAGAAAGTGGCTAGCACATAATTTCCACCATCCAGCCTCAAGTCTGAGAGCTTCATAGCTACCGATTTGCCTTTTGAGGTGACCTCGACATTGACCACCAAATGCATCTTGGTTGCGCAGAGCTCAACATTTTGCACCATTTGCAACATAGCTTTCTAGTTAGGATATAAGGGCCGTATGCCATCAAGCTATTTAACTCTTTCAAAACGTAATCTATGGTCATAAACCTCATCGCCAGATAGCTAAATTCCAAGGGTGAAAGGTTGACAGGATAAATTTTATTCGTGATGATAATTAAGCACCTTAAAATTGCTGTGCCTCCTAGTATCAAATATCTACTCTAAGTTTAGTTAACCAGACTGATTCACGGTATGACTATACTGGCAAAGTTAACAATTGAACAGATGATGCTGTTTGAAACAATTTAGATCTAGCACTCTGAGAACATCATAACCCTAAGCGAAGTTGTGGATCAAGCAAATCATTTACTCATATATTGCACTACTATATAATTGACCAAGCTTTTTCTTTCTTGGCTTCAGGTAGCAATTCATGTATTCCGAAGTATGCACAAACAGGATCGTTCAGTGGTAAATGCCCCATCTCTTGTTTTGAAAAAGACTATAAAATCCAATAGTCTAGGATCAATCATGCAAAATGGCAACTCCACGAAAACCCTTAAATCTCTACCACTTTGGAGCCAATACATATTATGCCCATTTGGGGCTTCGGCCGCTCGCCCAGAACTACTTTAATCTCCTACAAAAGAAAAGGCATTATCTGCAGTATGTTAGCCACAGAGCAGCATGCCCAAGAAGCCAGATTTACCCTCCCGATTCACTGGCTTGCATACAATTGAAAATGCTATAATCTCTATTACTCCTCAGTTTCCTCTTTCTTTGTCTCATCGTGGCAGAAGTAAGATTAACCAGCCAAAGATTGGAACTTGCGTATGCAGTCTCTCAATACACGCATCACGGTGGCAATCTAAAGCAAGAGAAAGAGAATTGCCTAAACGACCCCCACTCAAAATCAGACGACCGGATGAACAAAACAACAGCTAGTGATTTCGCGCGAATAGGAGAGAGAGAGAGAGAGAGAGTCACCAATTCCTGATCCTCGACGTCCTTGAGGTACTCCTGGATCGTGATGGTCTGCTCAGCTTCTTCCTCGAACGCACCGGCCATTTCCACTAGGTCTAAGCACAGAAATGACCCGACATCAGCCGAAATCACCCAAAAAAAAATCCCGAATTTCGCACGACCCCTGAATCGAGGCAAACGAACACGAACAAGCTATCGAAAAAATAACCATCTCCTACAAAAACGAATCAAAAAAGAAAGAAGAAAAGAACATGCCCTGGATCCTCAAAAACCAAACAGAAACCTAGATCACGAAACAAGTGGGTAGCGTAAGTTACCAAGTTGCCGTTCCGCGAGAGAATTTGGCGGAGGTCGGAAACGAGAGACGGCACGGCAACCCGGAAAGGGATCGGAGAGAAGAAGAAGGAGAGGGAGGTGAAGATGGTGGAGGTTTCAGCTCGGGGAGACAAGCGCGGGTTCTAGGGCTTTTATTTTGGGGGCGGCGAGACGAGGAGAGTACGGACATTTTCCCGCCATGTCGAGGCGAGGGACGGAGGAAGCTCTTTTTTTTTCCGTGTAGCGTCTGGTTCTTTTTTTCGCTTTGCCGAAAAATCGAAATCGGTCTGCGCACGATCGTTTCCCTCCAAGCGCGAATTTTATGGGGGTCTGTCGATGCTTCTCGGTCGGAGGTGGATGCAAATCACCCGCTCTTGCGTTTTTGCTCTTTTGCTCGTGGATGGGTTTTACAAGCAAAATGCCTCGGATGGGTTGCCGACCCCCGCATATGATGCGCTCAATTGAGGGTTGCCCGAATGTTGCACCTCCTCTTTAGTACGGAATCAAATGGGTTCATAAAAAGTGGAGGCCATGGACGTGGAATCGCTATGATACGGATAACGTATCGTCGCGTCGTTAATGATGTAATAGACTTAATTTTAATGTTAGGTAGATCCAAATTGACCCATTTTCATGTAATACGAATCTAGTAATTTATATTCGACTCAACTCATACTTGACTCGATCCATATAGATAAATCACTTCCATATTTAATTTAATCAAGGAAAATTCATACCCAAACTGAAGTGAGCGAGCGCGAAATCGAGTGAAAGCGAGAGTGAAGAGCAAGTCATAGATGTAGGCTGTGTCTAAATAAGTTGTGAACTCATTTAACATCCATAATATTTTGAGTTTTATCATTCTAAACCCATTTATGATCCATTTACTTAATATAACTAACTCATGTAATAACAAAATGTGTCAATGTGAGTTGAAAACCATTTTCTACCCATATTTAATAAGTCGGGTCATATATGGATTAGTCAATTTTTAATAAACGGATTGTTAATTGATTCGAGTTGTAAGTCTAATTATATATGGGTCTAATTATATGATGCGCTCAATTGAGGGTTGCCCGAATGTTGCACCTCCTCTTTAGTACGGAATCAAATGGGTTCATAAAAAGTGGTGACCATGGAAATGGAACCGCTATGATACGGATAACGTATCGTCGCGTCGTTATTTTTTGCCGATGATGTAATGGACTTAATTTTAATGTTGGGTAGACCCAAATTGACCCATTTTCATGTAATATGAATCTAGTGACTTATATTCGACCCAACTCATACTTGACTCGATCCATATGGATAAATCACTTCCATATTTAATTTAATCGAGGAAAATTCATACTCAAACTGAAGTTTGAGCGTGGAGTGAGCGAGCGCGAAATCGAGTGAAAGCGAGAGTGAAGAGAAAGTCATAGAGGTAGGTTGTGTCTAAATAAGTTGTGAACTCATTTAACATCCATAATATTTTGAGTTTTATCATTCCAAACCCATTTATGATCCATTTACTTAATACAACTAACTCATGTAATAACAAAATGTGTCAATGTGGGTTGAAAACCATTTTCAACCCATATTTAATAAGTCGGGTCATATATGGATTAGTCAATTTTTAATAAACGGATTGTTAATTGATTCGAGTTGTAAGTCTAATTATATATGGGTTTAAATGGGTATAAAGACAAATCCATTTACAACACATTTAGCTTAAAAAAGGACAAATAGAAAGTATAGTGACCGTATCTCTGGAGGCCGATTTTGGGGTCATCAGCAAGCTTGAAGTCGAGGTCATAGCCGCGAGACTGAGGGACCTGAAGTAGAGGGAGTGCGACGACTTGATGGCCAAGTCGTCGAGCAAGATGAGGACTCTCCGACCCTCTGGGGCTTTCGAGAGCGAGAGAGGAAGGGGAAGAGGGAGATCAAAGCCAAGAGGATTAGAGATCTTGCCTTTGTCGATCAAGGAATTAGGGTTTAGGCCACAACTGGAGTTGCGATTGGAGGTAGAGTTGAAGATGCTGGAGGCAAAGAGAATGTAAAGGGAGCTTGGAACTGGCGATGGTTGGGGACAGCGGCAAGGAGGCGGTGGGGGCTGTGGCTCGATGGCGGAGGGGGAGGCGGATGGGTGCCGCACCGGCAACGGTGGAGTAGGAGGATGAGCGAGAGACGTTTATTTTTTTCTTAATGGATTTTGTAAGTCAGTTTAAAGGACAAGAAAGGATTTTTAAATCCATTAGGCCTTTTTCTCTAGTCATGGCCACGGGCCGGTTTCGGCCCGGAACCGGCCCGGTCAAACCCGGACCAGGCCCGTTGACCGGGCCCGCGGTTTGGAACCGGAACCGGCCCGTGCCCTATGGGCCCGGTTCCGGTTCCAGAAATTTTTGAACCGGCCCGGAACCGCCGGTTCCGGGCCCGGTTCCAAAAAAAAAAAAAAAAAGAAGAAGAAGAAGAAGAAGAAAGCTGCAGCACAGCCTGCAGGTGCAGGCCATGCTGCTGCTGCTGCGGCCCGTTGCCAGGGCAGCCCCTGGCAACGGGCAAAATTTAAAAAAAAAAAAAAAAAAAAAAAACCCCCCGCAACAGGGCCTGCATGTCTGCAGGCCCTCCTGCGGGCAGTGGGCTTGCGCCTTGCGGCCCGTTGCCAGGCTGCCCTGGCAACGGCCAAGGCCAACGCCCAAACGGGCAAAAATTTATAATAAAAAAAAAAATAACCGTTGCAAAATTGCAACGGTTATCTTTTCTTTTTTTTAATCCTAAATTTTCTTCTTATTTTTTTCTTATAAATTCTCTCAAATTCTCTCAATACTCTCAATTTTCTCAAATTCTCTTCTCTCAAGTCTCAAATTTTCTCAATACTCGAAATTCTCTCAAATTCTCTTAAATTTTCTCAATTTTCTCAATCCACGCAATTCTTTCTTAATTCTCCCAATTAATCCGCTCAATTCTCTCAATCCACTCAAAAAATGGCAAGTGGAAGTCGAGTGCCAACTGGCAAAGGTAAGAATATCATGACGGAATCCCATCATTCTTTTGATCCCCGTGAATATGCAGATTTTCAAAATGATGAAATCAACATTTTTCCCGATGTGGAGCGCGTCCCGACGCAAGAAAGTTTTCATCCTCCTGCCGAAATATCTACAACAAAGGAAGCGGAACGGGAATTTACATCTGACATTTGGAATCACTTCACGAAAATGGAAAGGTTTGATATTGGTCAAAAAAGGTATGATATAATTTGTAAATATTGTGGGAAAATATATAAATATACAGGTGGACAAGGATATGGAACATTTAAACAACATCTTAGGAGCAAACATCCAACCGAAACGGGAATCGATATCGGGCAACAACAAATTTCCGGGTACGTCAATCCTAACACTTCCCCTTTATTTCGTTTTAATGAAAAAACTTATAAGGAAGTATTATGCAAATTTATTTCCGTTGAGCATTTAGCATTTAATTTTGGAGAAAGATTTGGTTTTAATGAATTTGTACAAAAAGCATGTGCTCCACAAGCAAAACATGTTCCTAGAAATTCAACTAAACGAGTAATTAAAGATCTTTACAAAAATGGAAAAAAAGATTTACAAAATTTTTTTATGCAATTTAATGGATGCGTGCATATAGGTAGTGATATTTGGAGTGATCATTGGCAAAATCATTCTTACATGGGCATAACATGTCATTGGATAGATGACGAGTGGGGTATTCAAAAAAGAGTTATTGCATTTAGAGTTTTCGATGATAAGCATACGGCAAATAATATTTATAGAATAATTAGGCAAGTTTTAGAAGAATATTATTTGCTTAACAAAATTTTTTCAATTGGTTTTGATAATGCCGCAGCAAATACCGCTTCAATTGCCGATTTAGAAAATATTTGTAAACCCGCTTTTGGCGGAAAATTTTTTCACGTTAGATGTGCTTGTCATGTTTTAAATTTATGTGTACAAGATGGTTTGAAAACTCTTGATATTTTTCTTCAACCAATAAAAACGGCGATTCAATTTTTATGGAAACATCCCAAAAAATGAAAGAATGGGGTAGATTTTGTAGAGAAAATGGCAAAAAGCCAAAAAGATTTTCAAGAGATGTTCCAACTCGTTGGAATTCTACTTTCCACTTGCTTAGTGAATCTTTAGCATATAAAGATTTATTATGTGCATTCATTTCTAATAATATACCTCAGATTAATTTATACCCACAAGAGTGGGATATTTGCCAAAAAATTTTAGATGTTTTAAAGGTTTTTAATGATGCAACTTATACTTTGTCCGGTGTTTATTATCCTACTACACATTTATTTTTAGTAGAGTGTACTAATATTGTCGGAATTTTTGATGAATATGAAAATGATGTTGAATTACAACATATTATAGTTGCAATGAAAATGAAGTGGCTACATTATTATAGCGAAATTCCCATTATTTATTTAGTTGCTTGTGTTTTTGATCCGCGTTGCAAATTGGATGGCTTAAATGATTTTTTGCGTACGTATTATCAATGTTTACATTATGATGCGATAAATGTTACAACCATAGTACATGAGGTTAAAAACGTAGTAATAGAATTATATAATGAATTTTATACTAAATATAATTTAGGTGATATTGGATCTTCTCAATCTACGGAGATACAAAATGACAGTACAGGTAAAATTAGTAGAGGGTACCAACTTTTATTACATAGACAAAAAAAACAAAAGGGAGTAATAGGAAATATTTCTGAATTAGAGATTTATCTAACCCTTTCATTTGAGTTTATTGAATCCGAAGGTGGTACAGATTTTTTAATTTTGGATTGGTGGAAGAGGCACGCAAGCCAATACCCAATCCTTTCTCTTATTGCAAAATAGATTTTTTCAACCCCTTGTTCCACAGTTGCGGTCGAACAAGCATTCAGTGCCGGAGGTAATATTTTGGACGAACATCGTTCAAGATTAGCTCCAGAATCAGTGGAGATTCAAGCTTGTGTTGCTGATTGGACGAAGGCTCAATACCGGCAACAAGAGATAGATCGGAATAATAAATCTGAATTCTTTAACGACGGAGATACTACCTCTACCGGTACCGGTACCGGTATTGGAACGGGTAGTGACGATTGAGGGTAAAAGAACTATTGGAGTTGACAAATATTTCGGGAACCCTTGTTTCTCATACCGGGTACGCCCACGTGAGCTTAGGGAAACCGAAGTATAATCCGACGACATGTGACCTCTGGTCCCCTGCG